AGCAGGGAGCCCGATGCGGGACTCGATCCAGGGACTCCAGGATCATGACCTGAGCCGAAGGCAGTCGCTTAACCAACTGAGCCACCCAGGCGCCCTGGATATTCATTTCTTAAACTCCCTGCTGGTGGTGTGTCGCACTGGGGAGAGGGGAGGGCCACACTTCAATTAGAATAGCCACACTGTTTTAAGTCCTGGGCTTATGCCTAAGATTTTTTTTTTTTTTTTCGTTTAAGAAAATGTCCCAGTGCTTTTAAACATCTGCCATCTGTTGCTTTTCAGGGCAATAATATGCCCCCACTGTGTACATAAGAATCCCTGGCATGTTAAACATGCAAATGGTTTGGGCCCCCAAGACTGAATCAGTAAGCCTGGGGAATCATTTTGGATCTACAGTCCCCAGTGAAAAATACTACTTTAGAGCACCATTCACTGTCAAAATGTAATAAGCGCTGTTATTTCATACAGTGATTCTTGGGTTTTTCCCAGTCACCTCCAGGATACTGCAACTTCTAAACCCGTTGCTAAAATAGTCTATCTTCAAGCCACTCTTTTTGATGCTAGATCATTGAAAGATATTTGAGAACTTATTAAAGGGAGCTTTTGGTATGTTTCCCCACCCTTTTAAAAGGCTACAGGCCCTTTTTTGAAGTTGCGTTGAGGTTGTAGAGAGTTCTTCAAATCCAGGAAGATGTGTAAAATGTTATAAAGGGGTCATTTGCACTCTCCTCCTTTGGCATTTGGCCATTCGAGAATCAAATACCCAACATGTTCATGTGAGTCGCAAACCCCTGGATGCCATCCTGAGCCTCTCACATCCACATCAGGTCGCTGCATGAGCGTCTTTGTAGCCCATTCAGGGAAGCCCACAGACTCCAACAGAATGTAAAAAATAAGTGACTGAGGGGTGCCTGGGTGGCTCAGTCAGTTAAGCATCTGCCTTTGGCTGGGGTCATGATCCCAGGGTTCTGGGATCGAGCCCCGCGTCGGGCTCCCTGCTCAGCGGGGAGTCTGCTTCTCCCTCTCCCTCTGCTCCTAAACCCTGCTCGTTTTTTCTCCCTCTCTCTCAAATAAATAAATAAAATCTTTAAAAAATAAGTGTTACCCTGTTCTTTTAAATGTGTTAACTAACATAAAGTTTGTAAATGGTATTTTTTTTAATTTTTTATTTTATTTTTTAAATATGTTATTTATTTATTTCACGGAGAGAACTCAAGCAGGGGGGAGCGACAGAGGGAGATGAAGAAGCAGATTCCCTGCTGAGCAGGGACCCCGATGGGAGGCTCGATCCCAGGACCCTGGGATCATGACCTGAGCCGAAAGCAGACGCTTAACCGACTGAGCCACTCAGGTGCCCCAATGTTATTGTTTTTAAAAACCAAAAAATAGTTACTGAGCGATTGGCAGATGGAAGCCCCTGCCTTGTATGTATTGATTAGTGAAAATATGCAGTTTTGCCTTTTGTTCCACAAAGTAGGTTGTGAACTACATCTCTGCTTAATTTTATTAAAGGAGGAGTAAGGGGGCGCCTGGGTGGCTCAGTCGTTGAGCGTCTGACTTCGGCTCAGGTCATGGTCCCAGGGTCTTGGGATCGAGCCCCGCACCGGGCTCCCTGCTCAGCGGGAAGCCTGCTTCTCCCTCTCCCACTCCTCCCCCTGCTTGTGTTTCCTCTCTCACTGTGTCTCCCTCTGTCAAATAAATAAACAAAATCTTTAAAAAAAAAAAAAAAGGAGGAGTAAGGAAGTTCTTCGATTGAGTTTTAAAGATTCTTCAAATGGAGATATTTGGGGAATCTAGCATTGTGCTGATCTGTATTAAAAAAGGAGGGTTTTTGGACTATTTCTGACCCTAGTTCAAATTCCTTAACACAGACCCTTTTTTGAGATGGAGGGGCAGGGAGAGGAGGAGGAAGGTACTGTCTGTCTGAGTGAAACAGGGCAAGGGCCCCGATTGTTGCCATGTGAACATAGGCTCAGTTTGTCGCTGTGACATCAGGCAACTTATCTGAAATCTGAGTTTTTCAAATGGTCTCATAATCACTTGGAAGTTAGGAGGATAATTGAGAACTGATGTCATAGTGTCTGGGACCCCATAGCGAAATGGCCCCCAGTAAATGAAGGCGATACATGAGCCCCAGGATCCTGTTTCAGCTCCAATTAACAAAATATAACCAACTAACAAAATACATACTGGCTTTCCAGTCTAATACCATCAGCTGTTCTTCCTAGTGCATGGTAGGAGCCCTGCCCATGTACCCCGAAGGAACTGAGTGGGTCCCTTAAGCCATCATCTCCTCCTTCTAAAGGGAAGACAAGAATCGCTAATTTCCAAGGTCACTGCGAGGGTTAAGGAAAATGTTTATGCATCTGTCCCTGCACAAACCTGATGCTGGTCTTTGTGGAGAGTGAATGGTGGCAACATTACTTGACCAGGGTGCACGGGAATACCTGAATTCTGTCTTCAACAGACTCTATGCTCCAAAGCCTTTCTCAAGAGAGGTCACCAAGATCTGGCAGATGAACACTATTATTTTCAGGCCCGGGTCCCAGGCCTCCACCTGCACGGCTGGCTTGGTGAGCACAGGGGACCCCATGCAGCAGCAGGAGCGTTGGACTTGGGGCCCAGCACAGCCTCCTCTCTCCCGAGGCCTCTCAGGTTCCAGTTAACTTCCAAAGGGATCCGAAGGCAGTCTGGGAAGGGAAGTGCTTTTCAAGTGGGAGAAATGGCCATGGCCTCACTTCTGTGGAGTATAGTCAAAAATCAAGCTACAACCCCACAGAAAACTGTTGCTGTGTCAGATCTGGGGGCCCGGCCCAATAGGTGACTGTTCTTGGGGCAGGGTGGTGGCGGAGGAGAGCCAGATTTCTTTAGTCAACAATAATGTCAGCTTTATGTTCTCTCCTGTCTCCTAGCCCCACACTCGAAGTTCTCCCCTTTGTGGGCTTGTGGTGCCCCTCCCCCACCAGAGTTCTGCCTTAGAGGAAGACTTAACATTTATGCCACTTTATTCACAACACAGCACTTCACCATGAAATATGTGAATTTAGCGTAAGCATATCTGAAATTCACACAATTTACAGATGTTAAATGAGTCACAAGTTTCAACATCAGAATTATACTTGTCAATCCTTCTGGTTCAGTGGGTTTAAATCCTCTTCTGCCCAGTTTCCTCTTCAATCAGACTTTCCTAAAATATACATGAGCAAAAAATATATCATGGTTGATTTTACTAGCTGAATTTCACTATGCTTTTGATATCTTAATTTCCAAAATATCGATATAGAAAGAACAGATCCATTTATTTTTGTGCACTAGAAAGTCTTGGAGAGCCTGGTGATGGGTATTAAAGAGGGCACGTACTGCATGGAGCACAAGGTGTTATACGCAAACAATGAATCATGGAACACTACATCGAAAACTAATGATGTAATGTATGGTGATTAACATAACATAATTAAAAACACAAACAAAAAAGTCTTGGGGAGATATAACAGATCGTGTGTTTCTAAGTTGTTTAATAAACATAAGATCTACATTAATAGTTTAAGGATAGGATGTGAAGGAGGTGAAAGAAAGATTTGATCTGTTTTTTTTTTAAGTATTTTACTTATTTTAGAGAGAGAGAGCACGCATGTGAGTGGGGTGGAGGGGGGGCAGCAGAGGGAGAGGGACAAGCAGACTCCATGCTGAGTGTGGAGCCCAATGTGGGGTTCGATCCCACGACCCTGAGATCATGACCTGAGCTGAAACCGAAAGGTGGACACACTCAACCGACTGAGCCACCCAGGTGCCCCTGATCTCAGTTTGTTATTTATTAACCTAGCTTTTGCCTCAATACCTTCTTTCTAAGGTCACGTTTGGGAAATGCCACTGCTTGCTATTATTTTTATTATGTGGTAAGTAGGAGTAGACACAGAAAGCCAATAAAGATGTCTGTCTGCTTGTTTTTTTGAACTGTGGGTGTGGAAGTTGAGGTCAATGGACAAAATGAAAGCCCTAGCTTGTGTTTGTATATGATTTATTCAGGCTTTCCCTGCTCCTGGGCACAGGTGCTAAGTCAGTGCCCCTAACTGCTGCAAACAAGGGGACCATGGGAGCTCAGAGAGCACCAACAGTGAGCTCAAGATTCAACCTCTCTATTCAGCGCTCTGTATACTTTCTTTCTTGTTATCAAAAACCTGCATCAAGTTAGCAGATTCCCATTTTGGGCGGGAATTTGGAGATTGTTAGAATCCAGTCAGAAAACTGGAAATCAAATATGTGGCTCTGAATTACAAATTTACTAGTTTGGAATTTTTTATTCCAAAGGGGGGAAAAAAATAAACTAGAGCACCATTTTTGATTTCTACATTTTTCCAGGGAAAAACCATGTCATACCAAGAACACTGGTGAAGAATTAAGGAATGCAGTGGAGAGGTGTGGATTAGCCTATATTAGAAGAGTCAGGTGGGGGGGGAGGGGACAGTGGTCGATGAATATAAGTGAAGAACTGACATGTAACAGTGGGAAGAAATGTAATAGTCATCCCAAAGGATAGAACCAAGGGTACCCCCAAAGGTTAGGGGGTAAAGGTTACAGAGAGATTTCAATTTAAGGGGAAAAAGTTCTAACCATTAGTACTGTCTACCCACTGAGAGAGGGTGTCACAAAAATAGTGAGGCCCTACCCCGGGAGGAATTCAAGCAGTCAGGACGGTAAGCCCCACAGAGGCCGAGAGGTGGTTGCCCTAAGTGGCACCAAGGACCTTTCCATCTCTAAAGCTCCATGTTGTTACCGCTGTAACTCACCAGAGCTCCTTTCAGGTCCCTGAGGGCAGATCGGGGCTGGTGGATGGTGCATTCCAAGCGCTGAGGTTCTGCTGGTTGATCAAGCTCTTTGGCTATCTGAGGAAAAAGAACGTGATTCTTGCTGTTGGAGATAAATGGAATGGAATGGTATTTTCCACTTTCACCAAGAACTGTGTGTGGAGAGTGAGGTCAAGGGAATTGTGGGACGAGGATTTAAGAACATAGATCCGCCCTGAGGCATTTATACAGAGGGGTGGGATGTTCTGGGGGTAGTGTTAGTAAGGAGAGAATATTTTCTCTCTAGAGATGATGAGAATGAAGTACTTTGAACCTCATGAGGGGATAGTATACGAAAAGTCCAGGAGCTTCTAGTTATGAATAGGGGTGATTTTTATTTTCTAGTTTTTACTAAATATGTCATAGTTAAATAAGTTAAATAAGTTACTTCACATATAATCTATGGAGAGGAGACTTCAGATTCCCGGGCATCTTTATTTCATACTAAATTATCTTTGTTATTTCTCCAAAAAGAAAGCTAAATAATTTTAAGTTTTTCTAGTTTCTTTTTCTCGGCGCTATATTAAGTGTCCCAGGCCCGAATTGCTCATCCTTTAGGTTCTGTTCGTTTTCCATTAATTTAAGAAACCAATAACAACTATTTTTATTAATCCACTATCATTTTGGGGGGTAGCCAGCTAATATCTAAGGCCTCTCTCATGTGATCCTTACATGACCCCAAGAAGTCTCATTTTATAGATAAAAAACCATGTACCCTATGTTAGTGCTGGTACTAGTACTGAAATCAATGTATATGAAATAAAATCCAGGATATTTTCCAGTATATATTTTGTGTCCTTGAGCTTGCTAACCCTATCCCCACTAGCAGCCTCCAAGTTCTTTGCCTAAATGCCCGTTTCAGTAAAAAGAAATGATAGGGCATGCACTCTTGAGAAGAATACTTATTTATAAGTTATGAGAATGTACACTGACCTAGTATCATAGATACTTTTAAAAGACGAAATAAGAAAAAAATAATAATGAGCAGAAGTTCTAAGATTTTCTTTCCGAATCCCAAGGAATCATCTTGCTCTGGAGACCTTGGGTCCATCCCATCGTTTCGAATTCCTTTGGCAATTCTAGATATTCAGAGTGCGACACGCTACTTCGCACCTGTTGCTGCATTCTCTAGGAATTGTTCCTGTCTGAATAGAAAGCAGGGATGGGACTTGCCTTTGCACATGTCTCATCTCCCCCAGAATACCAGGGGTACCTGGAGCCCAGCGTAGCACAGTTGGGGCACACACAGAATGTTAACGTGGACTGAATCACATAAGCCATGTCTTATTTTGATGATGAAAAAGCCTTACCTCTTGGAAAGAATCGATCAAATTTTCAGCATTCCTCTTCCCCCCAGGACGTAGTCCATAGGACCAGTGTTGGCCTTGGCAGCCCACCACACATAAGGTCAGCAGGAGAAGTCCAGCTACAAGTTTTGGAATTGGCTCCATTCTAAGGAACATCAATGCAACAGTGAGAATAGACCCAGACTGGGTTGAGCGAGAAGTCAAGACCTTTCTGGTGAGAAGCCTAACGTTTCTATGCTAAGCCTGCAGAAGGCGGAAGTGGCAGTTGCCTGCTTTCACACGCACGCTGAAACACACATCCCCATGTGTTTGCCTTGGGTTTCTTAGCCACTGGGGAGAAAGGCAGTACTTGGAACTTCCATGCTCAGTACGTTTTCGTACTAAGCTAGTCTATTTTTATTTTTAGTATTTATTTGGTTACACAAACTCCCTGATTCCTACCCTTATCAAGTTCGCCTTTTTTGCCTTCACATTCCCCCACCCCTCCCACACACACACAACTCCCCCATAGATTCGTTTTCAACTGTATCAGTTCCTGAGATAAAGAGAATTGGGCCATCTGCTTGGAAAGGTAGCTCCTGCTAGGAATCTCTGGCTAATATAAAGTTGTATGACATCAAATGCATACACTGTGGCACTAATTACATTTTGCTGAGTGTCTTCCACACGTAAGTGCTGGCCGGGCCATCTGTGAGCGTGAGAGAGAACTCAACACCTCTCAAAGCACCAAGCCCCAGGCCAGATGCCTCCATGGCCAAGGCGGCCTTGAATTAGCTAATGACGAGAGGAATTCTCACAATGTCTTCAAGTTAATTTTCATCTGATGGGAAAGAGACTAAAGACAAAATCAAATACTGGTTGATGAGCTGTTGTAATTATTCACCAAAGCCTGGATCCTCTGTGGCCCTGGGTGACAGGGACCACGAAGGTCAAGGTTTCTTTAGATACCGTCATGCCTGGCTTTAGCCCTTTGGGTGTAAAATGCCCTATAGACAGACGAAAGCATGTGGTCTCAAAACAAGTGCTAGAAATACAAAGCGTTTTACCTGTTTGCGAACAAAGAGCCAAAAGAATCCCGAGCTTCTTTTCGAGTTTGTAGAGTACTGTGATTTTTCATTTTCTTAGCTTCCTTTTTATATGAAACTTTTCTAGGACTGAAATCTTTCCTGCTGGTAAATTATACTGCACATGGACTATGGGGGTTTTTTAAATAGTAATTTTTTTTTAATCCTATTCACATAAAGCCCTTTAATAGTGTATGTAATTGGAACACCCACTGGTGTACCTATTAAATGTACTTAAATCTTGGCCATTAAAACCTCAGCTAAGACTTTTATAGCTGAGACCCCAATTCAGAGATTAAAATCTAGCTAGGTTGTATTCTCTTGAGGAAACTGACAGACCCATCCAGAGCAGAGGGAAAATAGCTGTCGTACATTAAGTGATGTTAAATGCGCACAGAAAAGCTTTCACAAAGGAGGCCATTTGGTAATTAGAGAAAGAAGCTGAGTCAGGATGCCCGGGAGCTGGTCTCAGCTCTTCGATTCTTCATTTGTAAGAGGAACTGATTTATAAATAATAAGAAGTGATTATTGGCACTACACCTGTACCCATATAGGATCCTACAGTAAGTAGATCATGTGAGTCTGAAAATTCCCCAGTCTCCTCCCCACCAGGTTCCTGCCTTGACTTATCTGTAAAGCCTTCTATAGCATCAAAAAGCTAAGGAGAAACATTGTAGTTAGAATACACTAAGCCCAAGACCACCTGGTGGGTGGACAGTTTGACTCATTTCAGTAGATATTTATTGAGTTAAAATATACAAATCACTGTGCTAAAGACAGTGAGAACACCAAGGTGAGAAATAGTAGTTAACTGGCATGTGAATGAGACCAACCTCTCTCATTACAACAGTCCTGCCAAGTGGGTATCATTATCCAAATTTACAGATAGATGTTCCAACCCAGTGGCGGACCCTTGGGATATTTTATTTACACAGTATAAACATTTACCAAAAAAAGATAGAGCCATTACTCTTTATTACATTTATCTGAATGCATGATTGTCTTCCCCTAATCTACCCCTGGGTTGTAACTCATGACAGTCAAGGATCCCATCTTATTTAAACACCTGTTAAATCCCTGACATTTAGTCAGCATTCAATAAGTTTAAGTTCGAATGAATGAATGAATGAATGAAAAGTAAGGACCTTTAAACCAGATTAGGCTTAATGCTTCCTCTATTTCTGCACCAAAGATGTGTTTTATCTGACATAGAATTAAACCTTCCTGTACAATTGTCTGTGAGGCCTATTACATTAGCTCAGTAGTAAAATGGTTAAAAATCACTGGTTATTTGTTCGTTTTAGAGCTGGGATTGGCAGTTTCTCCTCTGGTAGGATCTGAACCAATCAGTCATTGCCCAGTGTTTTCTGGAACGATTACATTTGCAAGGATGTCAGCATAAAGAGCAATGTGGAGGGCAAATTAACTCCCTGCTTTCCCCAGCCATTTCTGTGGCGGTTGTCAGAGTCTCACGATAGGGTAGAGAAGATTTCAAGTATACTTGCAAGGAGGGGAATTAAAAAAAAAAAAAAAAAGTGATTTATTTCATTTAAATTATTTTAATTATTTCTTTAGACACTGAATAATTTAAGTGCCATTTTGACATGAGACTTACCTCACTGTAATACAAAGGTAATGAGAGGCTCTTTTTCAACAAGAGTTCATTATGTTTGAACAGTGTTCAAATTGTCCAATTGATTTTCTATTTGCTGAAAGAGGTGTGCTTCTAACAGTGTTGCTTAAGCAGATGTGGTCATTGGACAGGACTCAGGAAATGGGAGTTAAGACGTCTGACCCTTACTGTAATGTTAAGCACTTATGTTTGGTTAAGCATCGGTGGATTTCTTGTAGCTTATTTCTATCAGTTGGTATTAAACTTTTGAAACATGTTTTGAAATTTTTGAATGGACACAGCCACATGGAGTATGCTCTATGCCAAATCTGTGTCGTTTTCTTAGTGCACATAGATCTCAAGGGCAAAGGCCAGATTTATTTTCTACAGTATCAAGAGATCAAATATGAAATTAATGGAATTTCGATGTTTAGTGACAAACTTTGAACCTTTTCATAGTTCCAAGGATAGATCCCGTTTATCATGAAGCTTAATTTAGTAAACTGGCTTTAAGTAATTGGATTTTATAGTTGTCATAAATTTTTTCTCAATTTAGAAATTTCCAGATCTTAAAGTGTATGGCTTTAGAGGGAAAATGGTTTCATTTTCAACATTATTAAAAGAAACACCTCAAAACTATTAAAGTGCTACAGTAATGATTCTGTAATCTTGATGAGTGACGGATGCAAGCCTCTTTTTTGCCCTAATGTAAAATCTCAGCAGGAGAAATCCATGGTGAACTCCTCCTGCTGACATAAAGGTTGTGAAAGGCTTTCAGAGAATTAATCCTTGCATAAGGTGCTTTGTACAGAAAATGTAACCACGTTTCTTCGCAGAGGTGTACCTTTTAATTTTAAAGATAATACCTCCTTGGAAATTTAATGAAATTCTAGGGCTTTTCATTAAACATGATTTGAAGTTGACATGGGGGTAGATTTACAGTATAAGTCACCGATTCATAAAATGAGCAACTGGGGAAAATATCCCAAGACCTGATTTATGTAACCTTTATTATTTCCTACTAAAATTTTTTTGAAACTGTAGTTGGAAGAACTAGATTATATTACAACATAATACCCGTGGCTCTGAACAATTACACAAATACTGAATTTTATCCATGTAGGTAATCTAATTAGGTTAAAATTTTTTTCTAGTCCCCCACTCCAACTGTATTTCTGTGTACAGACATGTTCCATCACTAGGTTTAATAGAAGTTTTACTATTTTGAAACTCCTCCCTCAAAATTTTCTCTCCCAGAAGTCAGGTGAGAATGTTTTGGGGAAAATGTTCTTAACCTAATAAAGCTAACTTGTAATGTTCATCAGCTAAACAGTAACCCAAATTAGATGAATTATCGGGAGGCAGTCTTGTCGTTTCAGAATTAATGAAATCTCTTTGTGTTGTTAGCTTGGTGGATTTTAAACAGAGGGTCATAAAATAATCATGCTTTAAGAAGTAAATTTACTTTAATGGCACTTTCCAAGAGACTAATCGGTTGTAAGTGTTGCATTTCCTTTTCCACCCAGATCCGTGGGGTTGGTCATCAACATATGGTGAAGAAATGTAAGCAAAATATGGTAAAGTGCTGATTTTCAAAAGCACGACAAGAAACTCCTTTTCAACATTTCACATCATTTATTAATGCAGTGTACATTTAGATCCCAAATCCGCAGTTGCTAAGCAAACCACGTTTAGATCTTTCAGATTCTTCTGCAGTTTTCAGTTACGTCTACAGAGGTACCCTTAAGTGGATGAACAACACATTCTATAATTCTTGAAAATATATAGTACAGAGTGAAATGATTTAAATATAATTAGGCATATATTGATTATGAAAATAGATATCTCTCAATACAATACTTCTCTGTCTTGGTAAAAATAATAAAGCAAAGAAAATAATTCATTTCTGAAGTTGCTTTCCCTCACTTGTAAAGGTCCGATCTCCCGCTATTCATGTTGTACCCTTTACTGTTAAGGAAAGCTTTGCATATGTATATATAGAAGAAGAAGCGACGTGAATATTGAAGACATGTCATTCTCCCAGAGGAGACAAAGTAGTTTTTAATGATTCATTGCTTCAAACTGATGAGTCTGTAGAATTCAGAACCTATTTGGACACAGCTTATATCCCTGCTCTTGGGGCAGACATAAGGACACGGGTTAATGGTAAGGGAGGACAGGCCCTGTCTCTGCTACCGCAGAGATGAGGACTCAAGAAAATCAGGCTAGAATTTCTTTAAACGAAACCAGAAAATAGAAGTCAAAGACCCACAGGTGCTGACTGATTGGTATTACATCTTGGACCAGCCGAATGCCTTTATTCTTATTTCAGTTTTTGATGGCTATAATCAAACTGTCAGTTTAAAATCCTCTCATTCCCCATTGCAGGGTTTTAGCTGCAGTTATGTTGAGGCCCAAAAGATGACTGCCATATTCATTCATATTTTATAGCTTGGACTGGGATTTATTAATACCTATTT